TTAATATAACTGCTTTTGAATTTTAAATATATAAAAAATAAATCTAATCTTATTCTAAATTGATTTGTATAAAAAAAAAAAATTTGAAAATTTGTCAATTTTCCTCTTTTCTATAACACTTCGCCTATATTATAGTAAATAAAGTTATTACAACAGCTATATATAAACTTATCCAAACTACGAATGCTTTTTGCTATAAAATACTATAAATACAATATATATACTATATATATATATATATATATACTTTATATACATATAGTATATATATATATATATATATATATTATATATTGTACTAGATAATCTTGTTATTTTTGCTACATTTTGGTTAAGATAGCTATAGCATAGTAATTTAATACTGTAAAAAGTAAGAACACTATATATATACTGTATATTAATATAATATATATATATATATATACAGTATATATACATATATATATTTATTATTATATATTATTGATTAAACCCATTTTGTTAATCTTATATATGCATTTTAATGGTATGATAAACAAAATTTGTTTAACTATACAAACTAAAAAAGCTTTCTTTGCTAGTTAAACGTATATTTATAGATAATTTACATTCATGTGATTTTTTGTACTCCACGTACCTACCTCTTGTCTTATGTACGTGATGTACGTGTCACATCATCAAGAAAAATTCGCGACCAATCGGTAAAGATACCACTTTTGACATAGAAAATTTTCTCCCGAAGGCGTTGTGCACTTTACCGTCACTGGGTTGTCATGCTTAGGACTTGCTGGTGGGCGTTCTCATTGTTTGTTCCTTCGCACAACCTGTCCCGTCTTTCTTTTTGCGTCTGCGTGTGAATTCTGTGGATCGATGTAATTGAATCGAGTTCCCAGACCATAAAACCCTAGAAGAAAAAAATTGAATAAAATATAATAACACAAATTATGAAAAATCCTGTCAAATTATTATAGGTCAGAAAAAAAATAAAGGGCTGATTTTTTTTGTTCAAATAAAAAATTTCGAGGTTTTTTTCCTTAAAAAAACTTCCTTCATAATAAACCCACTGCAAATGGAAAACAGCAATGTGTCTTTAGTTGAAGATACTCATCACAAGTCACCGTCCATTCAACAGACGACAAGAACGTCTCATACCACCTCAGAACTTGTGCATTCACAAGCGGTGAACCTTTCCATGCCGCCCGGCGGGCCGACTCATCCATTTGGTTCTCTTATACACCCAACCCCTACTAATCTCAGACCCTTTTTTACCACGAAGATCGCGAAGAAATTGTTCGTTTTCAATTAAGAGAAGAATATCAGGGTCATCTATGTCGTTATCTAAAAG